ACACCAGCATTGAGAGACCCTTTATCATAAACCAAGAACCAAGCTCCTACAGAGTTGAAAGCAAAATCCATGCTCCAGTTCTTCTTCAAAAGTTATAACTTCCATGTAAAATCTCTTGAATAGAGACACGAGTATCTTCTTCTTGATCAACCTTTCTTCTGAACTCTTTTCTCCCAAAACACTTAGATGTGCCTTTATGAGTGGAGTTGAGACTTTCCCAAGTATCTTCGACCATAATACAAGTGATAACGAGTCTGAACAAAAACTTATCAATTCCATTGATTATGGTATTGGAAACTTGACAGTTACAAAGAACTAACTTATACTCCACCCTTATATCTTCTTAGTACCGGGATTCTCCTATGCTGACAAGTTTTCAAGTTCTATTATCCATTTATTTCAAGAATGCTATCATTCTAGCCTTCCAAAAAGATCATATAGTACCAGAAAATTATCCCTGAAGCTCACCCAATAAACAGACATGGGTGCCTGCTCCGATGCCAGTTGAAATTCTAGTACTTATAACATATGTTAATATTGATGTCCCAATATCATAACACAAAATCAAGACATATGTTACGACATCTGCTGATAGACAGAACAAGCATATCAAAACTATAACTTATGCAGAAAAAATTATAGAATGATAAATAACACAGTTGTATGTTAACCCAGTTCGGTGCAACGTCACCTACTCTTGGGGCTACCAAGACATGAAGTAAATTCTCTATGAAAATACTAGTTCAAAGCCTAAATAATCCCATTTACAACTTCTCTCCTAATCACCACCATGTGCAACTTCTATCTAGGAACCTCTTAGATATGAGAACCCCCTCTCATTTCCAATCACCTCAGTAATATCTACAATCACAATCCCATTGACTAGATTCAAAACTGGAACCTCTCTTTTAATTATATTTTTTATTTATAAATTAAATGTTTTAACAATCAGTTTTCCTAAAACCCGAGGAAACATTTAGCGTTAAAATTGATGATATTTATCATCGTCCTTAATAAATTCCTTATCGTCCATTTAATGACTATTAACACGCAAGACCTTACCATTAGTGATCTGCGTAAAACATAAATAACTTCCATTATAAAAGCATTCTCATTATCAAAAATTGATAATGTAACATCTTGAAGCGCTTGAAACTATTCCACTTTAAGGTTTGCAAGAGTGTTTTACATGAAGAGTTCTCTATGATGGATTACAAGAGTAGGAAATTATACGGGTTTAAGGTTTGGGTAATTAAATTTATTTGAGAAAAAAATTATTTATTTATCTAACCTTTTTTTTTGTTCATATCATAAACAAATACAAGGAAAAACCATTGAGAATATACTTGCAACCATAATTTGATCTTCCTCATAGTTATATGATTTCAAGATTTAAAACCTATATCTTTGGGAAAATAATTTACCTAAGCTTTTTTTTTGTTGGGAGAAAAGAGTATCCGCCATCGGAATGGGTTTCTCAGCATTTGATCTTGCCCAAAATATCAAGGAATTGAAGATCCAACAAATGATATTCATGGACATATTAGTTGGTAAACAAATTATTTTATTAAATTTCTGTGTAAACAATGTAACGAGTTTTATTTATAAAAAAAAACTATTTACCCCTCCATTTTCTTGATAAATTGAGATAATAAAGGCACTAATTTTGTATATAACAAAAGTGCAGATGTTGGGGTTCAAACCAATACGCTAACAAAATCATATCTCAGTGTTTTTAAACACCGAGGTGATAAGTCTTTACTTTTTATGACGACCTTGGTTATCTCTCTTCTTTAGCTGAGGTAAAATGCATTTCGCGTCTGAGGTTAGAAGTGTTATTTGTAGTAGTGGTGGTTTCCTAAGGTTTTATTTGATTGTTAAGTGTATATTGAATTGATAACCACCCAATAAATTATTTATCATTTATAAACTTCCTTTTTTAGGGTTTTGTGATTTTATGAACCCTCTTATCATTGTCAGACCTAAATCCACAGTAGTACAAATTATTCAGAATATTCTATTTTTAGTAGGCAACAATTAGAGAAGGTAAAAATAAATAGGGTATGGATGGGTACCACATGGTGAATGAGAGTGGTATGTCATGGGCATATGACCTTCCCCAAGTTGAGTAAGGCTGAAATCGATCACACGATAATAACACTTCAGTATGGGGCCAAACTTTACGACTCTATTATGTAGATCTCTTACTCCTCAGGGTTGATCATCCCAAAGGATCTTATGACCATTATTGGGGTTCAATACTACAAATTCGTACACATCCCTTGAATGTCAAGGTCGCAAAGACGCAAATACTCTAAAAGCTTGTATGTATTAACCTTCTTAATGGTCAATCCTACGAAACACCTCTTTTAACTAAATAAATACTAATACATATAAACTAAAATATGTACTTCTGGAGGGGGTTATGCCTGACCCAGAGAAAATAGAAAAACATAACAGGCAAGATAGAAAATATACAAGTCAAACGATGACCTAACTCTTATCATGAATAACTGATCCCTATATTCTTAAATAAGTCGATCAAATCTATAGTTAGGTAATTGCAACTTATTCTTAAGGAACTCTTCTTTAATGAAATGAGGAACTGAATCCCACCAATGAATGCCCACCACCTCATGGTCCTAAAGAGATTTTCTATCTGAACACATGTTTCTTTCTCTCAGATGTGAGTAAACTTTGTCATAATATTCAGAGTCTTGCAATTTACCCATATGTTGCAAAGTTCCCAAAGCGTCATGGTCTCCAGTGTCATGCAGTGTATGGCTCATAGCTAATCTGACTCTATCTAGAGTTTATGACAACCTCTTGTTGCCACATATTCTAACACTATCATAATAGAGATGAGATATACATGAAGCACAATTCTCTGACCTAGATTAGTAGAGAAATCACCTAGGAAGTCTCTTGGATTATCCCTGGAAATGTCTCCCTACTACTAAATTATTTTGAATAGACTCGTTTATGTTTATTTTTGTCCATCCCAAATTTGGTTTTCTCCTAATCACTGAAATGATTCTTGGAATATTTATATATCGTCTCTCAATCTGCAATCTATCAAAAATAGCTAACTCAATTTGATGATGAGCGATCTAGCCCTTTGAGAGGGATGGACCAATTCTTGTGTGTGCCAAAATGGTTTCCACTATTTTTTGAACACTAGGGTGTCCAAGTTGCCATCGTCGTTTTTTTAAGTTTGTAATGCCAACCTAGTATAATCATTTGCGCACGATCCTGAGCTGATATTGGCATGTTTAAGTTTTAAATCCTACGACACACTACATTAAACAAAAATATCTATACACCATATTGTCATTCTAGCAGCAATGATTGATAGACTATCACCAAATGAAATATTAGGATTTAAATCCTGAGTACGAGAGGTATTCATATAACACATCTCAAATAAGATTATTTTCAGAAGAAGTAATTTATGAGGAAAAAAGTATCACCCTTAAATATATTAGAAAGGGTCTTGTAACCAATCGTTAGTTGGTTTAGTGGTGATTGACGAAAGACTTAGTAGAGAGGACTCCAATTCGATTTACTGTAACTGCGATCGAGAAAGAACTTACACCACTTAATGCCAGAACTGATCCCCAAATCAGATTAGACGATTCAATGAGCCGGATCCTGATGGTAAAAAAGAATTGTTCTTATAAGAGTTTGATCTTTAAAAAAGTGATTTTACCATCAACAAAAAAAAATGACATGGTTAAAAATATAGAAAAAAATGTTTTACATAAACACACTACAAAACAAACATATAGACGTAAGCACATATGTAATAATTAACATGATGCTTTTAGAATTTAATTTGAGCAAAATATAGACTACCACACACATGAACTGGAAAATGGCCCCCACCAAATATCCAACAAGTATTCCCAAATGTCCCTACTAATCTGAAGAATACAGACATAAGAAGTTAGGTGATAAATATATAAAAACTCTCCATTCAATGTTCTGTCTCTATCAAGGGTGGGTTTTTCCATCTCAATCTCATCATGTAATCTTGAAAAGGTTCATCTTTAGGACCCTACAAAGAGCCATTCCACAAGCAATTGGAGCACATGTGAAGCCATCACTTTCATTCATGACTTTGTTGGATTTCTATTGTGCATGCTTCTATGTGTTTGTTTTGCTTGATTCCACTCAAAATCCTTCACGATATATGCGAATGCCACTTACCTAAATGAGGTGATTTATAGAGCTGTCCTTTTGAAATTTTAGTATGGTATAAAACGCCAAATATTTTAACACTGTTTACCAAGTTGCTATATACTAATTTTTTAACCACTATCTTTTCCTTTTCATTATCTCAATAATTTTTATAGATAATGACTCTAGGTAGAAATAATAATATTTTGTTTTTACTAAACTAAATAATAAAAGTACATATGTCATTAAAAGATGCATCTAAAATCATCTAGGGCATTAGTTATATGTGTACTTTTAAGTTTAGGTAAAAATATGATTAAATTATAAAATACAAAATCTAAAAAGAAAAAATATGAAAAGCTAAAAAAAAAATTACTTTTTTACGGGGAAAATACAAAATAGGTCTAAAGGTTAGTCAATCTTAATAGATGTTGTAGTATTTTATCTTATAATTCAATTAGATTTTGGTTTGGCCACAATACTCACCCATTATATGCATAATGGGCGTTGTATGAGTTTTTAAATTTGGATTAGTATATAATTAAATTATAAATTACAAAAGTGTGAAACACGAAAACACAATTTTTACACCTACACGTAAACAAAACAACAAAGTGATAAAAAATTATGACCTCTAGTATAACACTTATTTAGATGTGAAATTAATCAACATTTATCTATAATATAAGAAAAGAACATGTTGTGAAAAAATTATTTATGTTTTTATTTCTAAATCTGTCATATCATCTGTTTGAGAGAAATTTGTAGCTAATTTTTTTTTAAAACTAAACTACCGTAGTTATGGTATTTGATTACTACTTATGATGCAATTCGGTTTGCATTCATTGGTTGAAAAATAAATTTAGTTTTTTAAATTCTTCAACTTTTTCTCTTCGATCAAAGGAGATTTCGGGCTTTTAAAAATCCCTCCAAAAATCAAAAGTTGTCTTTTATCTCACATTGGTTTTCTCTCTCTCTCTCTCTCTCCTGCTCCATCTTCACATTCTGCAGTTTCTCCATCTTCTTCAACTGTTCATACGATTTTAAGGTGATTTTTTCTACATTCACCCCAACCTGCTTCCGATCTTATATGTTCTTCGTCTTCATCCTATTTTTGTTACGTTTTTTTCAATGAAGCTCGACTTTGTGGTACAAAACAAAGAAGTCTGCACCTGTTTTTAATAATAATTAAAAAAAGAAATGTATTCATTCTTTCTTCATGGTTTTGTTTATTTTCTAGGATATTGGTTATTGGTAATAGATATAAGTTTCAATATTTATGTATATGTATGACTTTGTTTTTGTGTCTTTGTTTTGATAAAGTGTCTTTGTTGTTGTTATTGTTTACATGTTTCTGATGAAGTTTATGTATGTTGTTTTGTTAGTTTTGATATTTCTGAAGATGTTTATGTTTGTTGTTGTTTTTGTTTTGATGTTTCTGACAAAGTATGTGTTTGTTGTTGGTATGGTTTTCATGTTTCTGATAAAATTTGTGTTTGTTGCTATTTATGTTTTGATGTTTCCGATGAAGTTTGTGTTTGTTGTTGCTATTGCTACAAACTTGATATTTCTGATCAAGTTTGTGTTTTTTGTATTTCTATGAGTGAGTTGAAATATTGGTGTTTGTGTTTCAAACCTGCTTCTGAGTTTGTTTTATGTTTCTTTTCTCTTATTCGTTTTGCGCGATTTTTATTTACACATTTTCATAGGAATTGTGAAATGGCAAGGCCGTTTGAAAAGATCGCCGACATTAGTGGCCAGAAAGAGTTATGGAAAGTTTTTGTTAGAGTTCATTACAAATGGACCGTGATAACAAACAACAATGAGCATTTAGAGCTCATTTTTGTTGATGATGATGTAACTCTTGGTTTTTGTAGTTTTAATTCCTTTGAAATAGTTGTGATGATTATGAATATGTTCATTGTTTACCTAAACCAGCCTTAACTGATGTATGTAACGTATTTGTAGAGGATATATAATCATGTTGTAATAGCTCTAACTTTGAAGGAAACTTTTTGATTCAGTTTTAGAAATTAACAAAACATACACTGTTACAAAATTTCTCTCTCAATCCAATGATCTGATGTTCAAAACTTCTGAACATAAGTTTATGATCAAGTTTACTGCTAGAACGTATGTGACTGATACAAATAAACACCAAATCTCTGGAAAAAACTTAACTTCAAACCTTTTGGTGACATAACCTCTGGAAAATGGAAGAAATACTTCTTTATAGGTTAGATGTTATTGATACATTACTCATATAATGTATTTATAATTATTTTGTAGTTTCATTTAGATGTATCTAACACCTTCATTTTAGATGTTGTTGAAATGTTGAGGATATTGGCTATACCCAACTTAATATCGGTGGAAAATTCATTTTATGATGGTGATATTGAAAAAATCATAGTCCCAGATTATGATACGGTGGGAGAACGGACTTGAAGGTTTTGCGTTTTATCGCAAATGTTGCGGTTAGCAAGAGTCGCCACCGACTTTTCTTTTATCCAAAAGGAAAGTTGAAAAAGCACAAGAAATACCTTTGAGATTGTTTCTTGAGTTCGGGGGGTAGATTATGAAAAGGGAAGGTATTAGCACCCTTTTCATCCATGTTTTCAATGGGCTCTTAGTTACTTGCTAGATCACTTGCTTTTGTTTGAAATTGTGCTTGGTGTGTTTTTTTGAAAGTATTTTGTAAAAGGGGCCATTGTTTAGGAAATCTTTGTAATGATTCTCATTTGTAAGAATGTATACAAAGATGTTTGTCTTTTTTTTGAAAATGTTTTCAAGTTATGTAAGATGTTTTGAAATGTGTGTGTTTGTTTTGAAAATAGCAAGGATGTTTGTTTGAAATGGAGCAAGTAACCAACAATAATCTACCTACTCAAATGTCTTTCTTGTTCATTTTTCTTTTCCTTTGATATTGTTGTCTTACCATTGATTTAGTAAGCAACCCTATCTTTGGATGTAAACGAGACGGGCGTGGGTCATCGTATAACAATGATTAGCAATGTTGCAAAGTATCTTAGCATTTTTTTAGGGACTAAGATCATTTTATAAGGCAACTTTTAATAGTGTCATCGAGGGACTATGATCTTGTATTTGTTTGTTTTTGCTAAGACACTTTACATGCGTAATATGGCCATTTTGTATAAGGCAACCAAGTGGGATAACCCTAGGGGTGTCTTGTGTGCAAGTGTGTCATTTTCATGTTTGATTTTGTCTTGAATTAGGATTTTCTATTTGGTTGATTTTATCTCGCCATATAAACCCTAATTACTAGCATGTTATATAAAAGCGATAAATTGCGAAATTTAAATGTCCTACGCTTTTACAACCTTTGTGGGATGGGAAATACAATTTATGAATGAGGATTTTGCAATAATATAAACCTAATTAAGCTATTACAACCAAATTGAATATGTACAAATATTGGAATAAATAATATACAAGATAAATTAAATATGCAAAGATATATAAATGCAAAGAAGATTTTGTTTGGTTTTTTTTTATGTGAAAATTTTTTAAACTAAGCCTAATAAATAAGTCAAGGTTAAACTTAAATTAATTAAGAAAAGGAAATTACTTTTTTAGAAAAGATTTTGATTAACCCTAATTCTAATTTGTTAAAAGAAAATAAAATTTCTTTAAGTATCCTTTTTGTATTTTTTTGTTTTGAAAATAATAAATGGTATTTATGAAATATTTTAGTCTTTTTATATTAAAATAATATGCTTAATAAATATATATAAAAAATATGTATACCAAACTAATTATAATTTAATTTACAAGTTTATAAAAAAAAATATGATATGTAATTAAAATAAAATATTTTCTATGAGAAAAAGTAAAATAAAATGGACTAAAATATAAATCTAGCATTTTTATATTTTTTTATGATTTTTAATATTAAAGAAAATATATTTAATAAAATAGAAATGAAAATTAAATGAATAATAAAAATATATGGGCCTGGGGTGCTGCAAGAAAACAAGAGATAGTATGTTAGCAAAAACAGAAAGGCCCAAGAATGAGAGGCCCAACTCTGCAAGCTAGCAAAAAAAAGTATCAAAAAATGCAAAAGGCAGCGCCAATGCTCGAACCCACGACCTATGGCATTTTTGCGCGCTGCCTTACCACTGGGGTGGCTGTACATCCGTTCATATAAGCAAAGGCATAAATATATATTATAAAACGCCCCCTGGAGGCAACTTCATCTTCAACCTTGAGCCATGGCCGGACCACCTGTAACTCTCTCATTTCTCCATGGAAATAGAAAGTCCAGACATGAAAATCATAGGGTTTCTGCCCACGAGTTCAACCATCTAACTCATATAAACTAACAATCAAAGATCAAAGCTAATTTTACTTGCCCTAATTTAAAACCAAATTTTTACAGAAATTTCAAATCCAAAATTATCTATGCATAGTTAATATAAATGAAATTTATGAATATGGTTAGCTTTAGGGCAAGGATGTCTACATCTTTCTTTCACAAATCAGGACCCAAGGATGCTTGTATGAAGAGATAGAAGTTTGAGTTTTTACCTCTTTCAGTTGAGATCGTGAATGGAGTTTGGGCAAGTTTTGAGAAGGCCTGAGGATCTGTTTAGCTTGCCTGGACCTCCCTGAGTGTATTCCAATCCTTACTTTGCCTTGAAGGTTCCTGAATTTCCCTACTCAAGTCAACTTGCAAGCTTGAAATGTAAAAATGGCAGATGGATGAGGAGGAGTTACAGTAAAGGAACAAGGGTCTGGAACACTTAGATATGATGTATATTAAGTTTTTAGGTGGTTCAACTTCAAAACGCACCAGTGGTTTTTGAGATTGCTATGTAAGGTGCAAAACTGCAACTTATGGTATATTTTTAGTGATAGAGTGTTTGGGAGAGTTTCTGAGCTTTTTCCATCGTGTTCTAGGTTGTAATGTATTTGTGTATAAGTATAGAAAAGGGTTTTGATCAATTCCACATCAGGTTTTTGAGTTATAGCCTTTTGGCTCTATTACTTGCTTTTGAAGAAAAGTGAGGAGACAAGTCTCTATGTGTTTGTACAAGCCTGGTCTGAGTTGGTAGAGATTTTATACACATTGCTTTTGGTCTATAGGGTTTGTGTGTGCAGAAAAAACAAGTGCAAAGCTCAAGGAGTGGAAAATTGCAAAAGTTGTGCTTTATCAAAATGGAAGTGACACCTTTGTGCCAAAAATGGAATTATCCTTGTACAATGCATTCAATGCTTGTCTTAAAGCTTCCAAAATCTGTGAAATAATTTAATTATGGAGTGAGAAACAAGTTAGGAGCCTGCAAAGCAAGATTTTTTCAGCATGCTTGAGGATTTGAATTTTTGTTCTTCATGAAATGGCTTGAAATCAAAGTGAGAAATTGCCAACTTCATATCTTCGATTCTCCCTACTCAAGAATGATATCAAGGAGTTCTTGGACATTTTAGAAAGCTTAAAATGTGCTCTACAACCCATATTTGAAATGCTTTCAAATATTCCCCTTGTAACTATGTGAAAAATTGGCATGAAGTTAGGTCAAAAACCTGCCTAACTAGGCCAAAATTTCACTAAGTTATTTTAGTTCATGAGCATGTATTCACAAAATTATATCTTGAGATCCAAGCATTTTTTAGGAAAAATTGTGTGAAGAAAAGTTGTATATTTCATGGAGATCTATAACTTTCATGTTGGAAGTTTCCTTTGAATCATCTTGCATCATGGTGATAATTTGGCTCAAAGTTGAGAAAAAAAAAGAAATTTTCTATACTTAGAAAATTTTCTAAGTTAAAATTTTTCAACTTTTTAAAACCAAATCTTAAGTCATTGGTTTCTTGATGAACAAGCTTCACATTTTGACATGTTTTGATGAATTGTGATCCTTGACACTTGAATTTGACCAAAAAGTCAAAGTTTAACTTTTCAGTATACAGTTGACTTTTGATCAGTTGACTGAAAAATTCATTTGTCAATCTAATGAATTTGTAATGTTTTGAATCATTTCATTAGGTCAAGATGATGCAATTGAACTCTTGAGATCATGCTTTAAACCAATTGACCATTTGCTAGGTCAAAAATCAAAAATTGCCCTTTCTCAGTCAAAACCCTAATTTTGACCATTTTTCCCTTTTGATGATTTGATCAAATTTCTTGAGGAATTGTGGTCCAAACTTGATAAAATGATACATATGAGTCTAAGATGTTGATGTGGATAAAATTTTTTGAAGTTTGACTATAAATTGGCCATGGTTGACTTTTCCCTCAATACAATTGATTTTTAGTTCAATTGTCCAATTGACTGATAAAAAATGTGATTCAAGGCTTGAAACTTGGCATAAGTAATCTTGGGGGTCCCTAATGATCTTTGAAAGTCATATGAAGCATTGATAGTCCAAAAATCCTTGTGCAAACTAAAATACTAATTTTGGTCATTAGTGCGTGAGTAGATGTCTTGAGTTGGTCAAACCCTAATCCAGCCTTAAGTCAAAAAGATCTTGTGAGGAAATTCTTGATAAGTGAGAGGGAAAATTTTGGGGTGCAACAGTTGCCCCTGTTCAATATTCTTAAGCCTGAAGAGTTAGATTGGCGAATTCTACCATTCGTGACTCGAAGGTGGAAGATGATTGGACACTAGAGTGCCTAGAAATTTGCACTCGGCGATGTGATGGTAGAGGGAATGGGCTTAAAGATGCCATTTGGAGAGGTGATAGAAAGTTGTAAGAGATGGGCTTAAAGATGCCATCCAAAGGTGATAGTTGATTTGTATTTTGTAAGATGAAAGAATGAGTATCAGAATGGCGTCCGTGTCTGGAGCGTATCTGTACTGTATCTAGAAGAGGCTTTTATTAAGTATCAGAATGGCATCCGTGTTTGGAGCGTATCTGTATTGTATCTGAGAGTTAAATCTAAATGAGTATTAGAATGGCATCCGTATCTGGAGCGT